ACAGGGGCCCCATGAGTGGCACGACACGCTGCGTGCCACACTAGCTGACCTGCAGTTCATTCCGTCCTCTGCTGACCCTTCGCTCTTCGTTCGTGCTGGCCAGACTTCGTTCTACATCCTGGTCTACGTAGATGACCTGGTCTTTGCTACAGCAGACAGAGACACGCTGGCCTCCGTGAAGGCTGAGCTGCTGAGGCGACACACCTGCATTGACCTGGGAGAGTTGCGCCGCTACCTTGGCCTGTAGATCTCCAGGGACAGCGCAGCGCGCACCATCACTCTTACACAGTCACACTTGGTGCGCCAGGTCCTTCAGAGGTTCGGTCTTCAGTTCTCCTCTGCACAGCCCACACCTCTACTGGTAGACCACATGCTCTCTGCTCCAGTTCCCGAGGAGTCAGTAGAGCCCAGTGGTCCTTACGCAGAGATGGTGGGTTGCCTTATGTACCTGATGACTTTCACTCGTCCAGATCTTGGATACCCTCTCAGCATCGTGGCTCGCTTTGTAGCCACAAGCAGATACCGACCACGGCACTGGTCTACCGCTAAGAGGGTTTTGAGTTATCTAGCAAGTACATCGGGCATGTGGTTATTGCTGGGAGGACGCAGGCCAGTGGTCCTTACTGGGCACACAGACGCTTCTTGGGCAGACGACACTGAGATCCTCCGGTCCTCCCAGCAGATGCTTCAGCCATGGTTGTGGTGCCATCTCGTGGAGGTCCACTCGCTCCTCGTCTGTTGCTCAGTCTAGCTGCGAGGCTGAGATCTACGCCGGTACCATGGCGGCTTAGGAGCTTCGCTGGCTGACCTTCTTGCTTGCCGACTTAGGTTAGCGGCCTAGCTCTGCCCCGGTTCTGTACGCTAACAACAGGGCCATGATCCTCCCGTGTCAGGAGCCTCGACGGGAGGGCAGAGCGAAGCACATCTAGCTGCGGTACTTCCTTCTGCGCGAGCTTCAGCAGCGTCGCCAGGCCCGCGTAGTACACTTGGCCTCCAGTGCCAACACATCTGATATCTTTACTAAGGCGCTTCCGCCTAGAGATCATCAGTGGCACTGCTTGCAGTTAGGTCTAGTCCCAGTTGACTCTCACTTGCTAGGCCCTTGATTGTGTACTCCTTTCTATTTATGCCTTGCAGACTGGCCTTGTGGCTTTTCCTCCAGTGGTTGGACTAGTAGTGCCGCCCTGGTTTGCTCTGTCTTGCTTGTACTCTTGCTGACTGGTTTTCAGGCCCCTTCCTCAGAGGTTGGACTAGTAGTGCCACCCTGAGCTGTGTGTTTCTTGCTCATCACTACCCCTTATCTAGCCTAGGGGGTGTGTCAACTTATACATATATTGTCATGTAGAACTTATGGGCTAGATAGGGTATGTTCTTAGTGGGTACAACACAAATGCTATATCTCCCCTGTTCTCCCTTCTTCTAATCATTCTTTCTAGTCTTAACAGACGGGGCCGGCTAGGCGACGGGGCCAGCTAGGCGACGGGGCCGGCTGGGCGACGGAGCTGGCTAGGTGACGAGGCCGGCTAGGCGACGGGGTCGGCTAGGCGACAGGGGCGGCTAGGCGGGGGGGCTAGCTGGGCGACGGGGCCGGCTAGGCGACGGGGCCGGCTAGGAGGGGGGCCCGGCTGGGCTACGGGGCCGGCTAGGCGATGGGGCCGGCTGGGCGACGGGGTCGGCTAGGAGACGGGGCCGGCTAGGAGACGGGGCCGGCTAGGAGACGGGGCCGGCTAGGATACGGGGTCGGCTAGGAGGCGGGGCCGGCTGGGCTATTGGGCCGGCTAGGCGACGGGGCCGGCTAGGCGACAGGGGCCACTAGGGGACGGGCCAGCAGGGGCGGGAGGGCAACGGGGTGGCTAGGACCTATGGCGGAAGCGCTAGTGAGCGGGGGGGATCTAACCTACTCATGATACCATATCAAAGTTAACAAATGAATAGAACCATGGCATTCAAAGGAATATAACCTAGTGGGTTGTACTCTCTAAGGCACAACCTTGTATTGTCTATGACAACATACAAAGATATGTTTGACAATAACCTAATGTGTTGTACCCTCTATGAGCATGCACCTATCTAGCCTGTAACTGTTAAATTATATATTGTGTTATATAATTGGTAGGCTTGGTAGGTTACCGAACTCTACTGTAGAGGTTACAACTCCCTCCTTGTATGCCTCTCTCTTCGCAGTCTCTCCTTTTTTCTCTCGTCAAACTTTACTCTCCTAGCTCCTAGCTCCTAAACCCTTACGCCATTTCATGACAGCCCTTCCTTCCTAGCTAGTCTTTTAACATGGTTTCAGAGCAGGTCCCTTTCGCTCGGGCCTTCTCCTCACGCTTCCGCAGCGTACTCCCCCCCCCCTTTCATGCCGCGCTGGCCCCGTCACTCCGCGCTGGCCCCGTCACGCCGCGCTGGCCCCGTCTCGCCGCGCCGGCCCCGTCACTCCGCGCCGGCCCCGTCACGCCGTGCTAGCCCCGTCCCTCCACGCCGGCCCCGTCACGCCGTGTCGGCCCCGTCACTCCGCGCTGGCCCCGTCACGCCGCGCTGGCCCCGTCTCGCCGCGCCAGCCCCGTCACTTCGCGCCGGCCCCGTCACTCCGGGCTGGCCCCGCCACTTCGCGCTGGCCCCGCCGGCCCCGTCACGTCGCCGTGGCGGCCGTGTCGTGCTGCCATGGCGGCTTTGTCGTGCTGCCGTGGCAGCCTCGACGCGGCGGATTCGTCGTGGCTCCGTCGTGCTGCCGTCGTCGCGTCAGCACACGGGCGGCAGTGAGCTGCGCACCGGTTTAGGCACCAGGTAGCAAGCCCGCACTCCAGCTCGCCGCGTCTCCTCAGCTAGTTGTGTCAGACCCTGCTCGCCGCGTCGGACCCAGCTCTCTACGTCGGACCCAGCTTGCCGCGTCGGTCCCAAACGGACTCAGCTCGCCGCGTCGGTCCCAGCTCGCCACGCCAGCCGGCTCCGCCCTGCCGCAGCTCGAGGATGCCTAGCACCTTCCTTCCCTGCAGTCACCTCTACTGCAGGGTATGGGGGTGCTCAGGTTAGAGGTGTTGCATGTGGGGGTGGGCTTGTGACTACCAAGCCTAGGGGGTGTGCTAAATTATATACGTGTTATATAATTGGTAGGCTTGGTAGGTTACCGAACTCTACTGTAGAGGGTACAAATCCTCCTTGTATGCCTCTCTCTTCCTAGTCTCTCCTCTTTTCTCTCGTCAAACTTCACTCTCCTAGCTCCTAGCTCCTAAACCCTCACGCCATTTCATGGCCGCCCTTCCTTTCTTGCTAGTCTTTTAACAATAACATATACAATTATGTGTTGACATTTACACACTACTTTCTCACTAGAGCATAGGCAGGCAGGTTTATTGGGGCTTTGGATGTAGAAGATTTAAGGCATAAGAGGACATGACTCACCACCTTTGTTGAGGGTTTAAGTTTTGCTTTTATGGTTTTGGTAAGCTCATGCGTTCCACCTAGTTGGAGTAACCGACTTGTTTTAGAGACCCATCTAGGTTGCACTGGTTCTGATTTTCGACTGAACCCCTGCTTCATGAACTCAACAGCGAGGTCCGTTAGCTGCGTAACGATGACCGGTTCTGTGATCGTCAACATCTGATCCGGCCGTTTGACAATCCGCGCCAGCCGAACGCAGTGGAGTGGAGCGGATGGGCGAAGACAGCCAACAGCCAGCAACACAGTTCCATTCCGCTGGAATTCTGTCTACACAAGCAGGCTGTTGGCCTTATCACCCAATCACTGGCAAGAGAAAGGAAACAGTCATTCGAAGAAACGTATGGATCAGCAGCAGGATCCTTCTTCGCTGTTCAGGGCAGTCGGCCTTCCATTCATTGGCATTGCGTTGCCCTTTGTACCGTTTTTTAGCGCGCTGAAAACAATACAGACCGAGTACATCCCTCTGCCACATCCACCAATAACAACAATTGCAGCTTTCCTGGTGCGCGAAGCGAAGGGGCCGATCTTCCCCTCCAAACCAAACCTCGACCTCCCATTCTGTTGTAGCCAGGAGGAGAAGACCCCTGAAAACCGGACTGGAATGTGGCAAAACGTAAGTAACCCAACTATATCAAACCGAATCCGACTTACACTTCCATTTACAGCACTGGCTATGATTGAGAGGCAGGTTAGCAGCAGGTCAGCAGCAGGTCAGCAGCAGGCCAGCCGCAGCTTGCGAGGAGGGCTAATTTTTCGTTTTTCAAGACCCAGCGGTCTCAGGATTCGCGTCACTAAAGACCCTGAAAATTCAGCATTTCCTGGAAAATCTCTCTTTATTTCAGGATTACTTTGACCTTTCAATCTGAAATTCAGAGTGTTTTTTTGGACTCCCTACATATCAGCGGAACCTGTGGGCACTTCGAGTACAAGCAGGAAGGACATCGATGGAAGAAACGAGAGGAATACAAACACACACTTGCTGCTGCTGCTGTCCCTCACCACCACACCAAGTTCGACACTTCGGTTAATCGCGACAGAAATGGGCACAACTTAGAGGGACAGTGCGCAAACTGGCTAAGGTTGTGAGGCCTGCACTTCTGTAGTTGTGAAAGTTCCACGGGCCGCACCTTCAGATTGCGTGGAAAATTGGTCACGGTTGCGAAGGAATTGGGGTGGTGGGGGTGCGGGGTTGCAATTCCAGCACGGGTAGTTTCCATGCCAGTCAGGAGACCAGGATAAATTTTCGCGCAATCCGGATTGCTCAGGGAGTTCCTTGGAAACGCCCGGAATCTGTCAGGAGGTTTGTGATTCTGAAACCCTCAAAATAAGGATTTCAGAGGGAAAGAACCGGAATGTACCTGACATTCCGGATGTTTACCCTTGAACCGAGAGCCCTTGCGAGAGAAGTGCAGGTCTCCTCACACCAGTGCCCCCCCATGGCGATCTCTGGCAAAGAAACGGCGCAGGCCGCTGACGCTCGACCTACGACTGTCTGTTTCGCCTGCGGCTTTCCGTGTGCTTACCGTCGTGCCGAATCTGGTGTCGGCGAGGCGAAGGGCCTCTTGCCTGCTTGCTCCTTGCCCAACCACCTCTCACTTGGCATAACAACCGCGTGTGGTCTGCACAGCGCTGTACGTGACCGTTGCTGTGTATTCGGATTCTGTACAGCACTGTACCTGTCTAAGTGTGCTGTCGAAGTGTTCCAGTCTAGACTGACTGGGACGCCCTAACGAATCCTACGAAGTATGTAGGTGCGACGAATCCGGGTCTGAGCAACACTCTCACTCTGGAAAGCGGACTCTATTTTCAGGAAACGAACGTTTTCTTGTTCTGTAAATCTCCGACGCTGTCTTACCTCGACCTCCGATGTGCGTCCCTACTACCGTCGGCTCAACGCTCGTTCAAGACTGGGCGCGCTGAAAACGACCTCTCGTTCGAAGCTTGCCGCTGACTGCCACAAGCTAGTCGCATCACCGCGAACCCGATTCCCCTTCATAGCTTTCGTTCCGTCAGTCGTCTCGGATTTTCTGGAAAGACGTGCTTTTACGAAGCGGCCGTGAGTTTCGACGCAGCAGTCTGTGAAGATCTGCCGCACGGCGCGCTTTATTAGCGCTTCTAACGATATGGCGCCGCCGTTTCTCGCCGGTATGAAGAAGCTCGATACTCTCTACAGCGTGGGCGAGGAGCGCACGGTCGTACTCGCTATAGACACATGCAAGTCCTGCCTTACCGCGTTCGACTCCCTCGCCGCCTCCTGCCACAAAACGCAATCATTCCTCTCCGCGAATCCCGCCACTCTTTCCGCGGATTTCCAGCTCAAACCGACGGACCGCCTCGTGGTCCTATTCCACCACGCCAACCACACGCCCATTAGCATCATGCCACGTGGCTCGAGTGTCAGAGCGAACGACAGATCGAGCGAAAGACCGAGTGACCGATCTGGCGATAGATCCGGCGACAGCCAGCCGGAAAAGAGACCCGACGGAGCGACGCCGTCGCCGTCGCCGTCAACTCCGCGGTCGATTCTGTCGGCGCTGCTCAGCCCCATGGCGGGCGGCGGAGCGAGCAAGCTCCGATGGGGCTCCGCCGCGCCCAGCGGCGACGATGGCGGCGAGGCGAGCACGCCGCCCAAGCTGAGTAAGCGCAATCGTCGGCCTCCATGGTCAAGTAGTGATTCTCCCTGACCCCGATCGCTCTACTCCCTAATCTGCCACTGATTACCCTACCCTGTTTGGGGGAGCGAAGAGAGGGGGGGGCGGGGGGGGGGTTGGGGGACAGGGGAACGGGGGGCGGAGGTCCCTCTTTGGTTGCCTAGAGTTTCCCCCCTAACGCTTGTGCCTCATCCACCCAACTTCCTCCGGCCCTCCCCTCTCCTCGCCACATGGCGTGGCGGCTGCAGCTGCACCCGTCGAACGTGGTGCGGCACGTGCAGGAGGCGGGCGGGCGGGTGGCACTGGGTTGCCCCACAGAAGGGCCTTGTTCTCTCTTCTGTCTCTCCTCACACCACCCCTCCTTGCTGCTTTCCCCTCCCTCCCCCAGGCCTGCCCCGCCACGCCATGTGGCGGCCGCAGCTGGACCCGTCGAACGTGGTGCGGCAGATGGAGGAGGCGGGGCGGGCGGACGCGGCGCCGGTGGTGGTGATGGCGCTGATGGAGGCGCGCGAGGTGAAGCGGAAGCTGGCGGAGAGGGGCGCGTGGGACAGGCGCACCAAGAGGGCTGTCCTGCGCATGGCGGCCACTGCTAGGGCGTGCAAGGTGAGGGGGATGGGGTGAGGTGTGAGGGGGATGGGGTGAGGTGTGAGGGGAATGGGGTGCTTTTGCGACTGTCTTATGCCAATGCTGCTGTCATGGGATTTCCGGCAGGGGTTTGCAAGGCAAGGGGAGTGGGTGTTCTGACTTTAACCTGCTTCTCTCAAGCAAGATTGCCATGCTTGTCGTCATAGTCTTCGTCTCAGTCTCTCATTTCCTCATTCCCTCCCGCCCCTAACCCTTCCTCTCCCTTTTCCTCCCCTTTTCTGCAACCCCCTCCCTGCTGCTCACGCAATGTCGTTCAGATTCGGTTTGAAGCTATCGACCTGTCAGACATTGCAGGAGAGGGGGACGGCAGCAGAAAGGGAGAAGTCATTGCCGCTCCACCCACCCACTCGCGCCCTTTGGGATCTCCAAAGAAGGCTCAGGGAAAACCACCACCCTTGTCGTACACACTGCCTTGGGAAGCCAAAGCAGATGCGGTGACCCGGTTCTGCCAGCACATCAATGCTGAGCTGCTGCTGCTGCCCTCCTCCCACGCCTGCAAAGCTCTCAACTTCTCTGGGAAATTCGCCTGCAACAACTTCACGATTCGCTGCGCTCGAAATGCGTCCTGCCGGGTGATTAGGCTTGGAGCTGATCGAGGTGGTGATGGGAAGCGTGGGAAAGCTGGGAGGTGTATGGGGAATGGGTTGGTAGATGACAAGCAGGTGCCTAGAAGTGCCACTGTGGATGATATGTTGTAACATTACCCTGGATGCATTGTGTTGTACAGGTATGCCTAGAAGTTATTGTACACTTCTCCGGCCCTTGGAGCAAAGAGGAAACCCGCAGTGGAGAGGGTGGAGTGAGGAGGAGGGGTTGCAACACAGCCAGCCACAACGAGAGAGCAGTGGGAAAAAAGTTCCAACATCTGGGCTTTGATGTCAGGAGTGGGATTTGAACCCACGCCCTTTCGGACCAGTACCTGAAACTGGCGCCTTAGACCAACTCGGCCATCCTGACACATTTACAACGCAAATAACATTTTATTGTAATTTTAGTTTTATGACAGTCACAGTCAGTAGTGCTGCCGACTCGACTCGCTAGTCAGTGTCAGGCGCACGTCAATATCAGCACCCGTGCGAGTGCCATAGCGGCGCATTCGTAACATGACGCGGACGCGTTTCACCGTTTGGCGTCGGTCGAACAGAAGCGAGTGATCGCTGCTGCTGCTGGAGCTCCTTTCGCTGCTGGCTTGCGTTTTCTTCCGTCTGACGCTAACGGACCGACAGACGGGGACGGCTGACGGACTTGACAGAGACCGTTCGCTGACTAGCAATGGTGATGGCACGTCGGCAGGAGTGGGTGCGAGAGCGCGTGGTGCGATCTCGCAGTATCGCGCTCATCGTGTCCGTCCCTGTAGTGCTCGTCGCATTCATCTTCTTCATATTCGTCCTCGCTCCCGCCTCCGATAACGACGATGCCGGAACGGACCGCTCCCGTAACGGAATCGGCGCGCATAGTAGATCCTCCGCACATGGCGGGCTTTCAGGCCATGCGGCATTGTCAGGCGGCGGAGTGAGCATCGGTGGGAGATCGAAGCACGCGATCAAGATGGTGGTTGGGAGCGGAAATGGCGGTGCGGAGGGGGAGGGGGATCGGTATGCGGTTGTGATTGATGCGGGGAAGGCCGAGAGCAGCAGCGTCCACGTGTACAGATTCGATTCGCGGATTGAGTTGGGGGGGATTCAGGGGAATTTTGAGGTGGTGGAATCAGTAAGTTCCTGTTTTTCCGGTGGCTCGTTTCCCCCTCACTTACACTCCCGCTGATTGGTCTCGGAGACGAGACGGGCAGTTGTTCTTTTATTTCTGTTATCGTGTGGGGGGGAGGGAGAAGGTTTCTTCTACTTCAATTCTTCCGCTAACATTCCCTTAGAAAACAATCCGAGTGGTGTTTTGGGAGAAAATTTTCATCCTCCTGCCGCTCTGTGCTCCTCCTGTTCTCTAGATGCCAGCCAGGTAAAAGCCCGGTTCGGGCCCGATCCTCCCCCTCAAATCCCAAGGCTGCTGTAGCAGGCATCCTGCGGCCGTTACTATACAAGTCCAACCTCCCTCCTGCCGTGCCTTTCCCATGCTGGTCCCACACATGTTTCCATGCTGCTTCCATGCTGCTTCCATGCTGTTTCCATGCTGCTTCCATGCTGTTTCCATGCTGTTTCCATGCTGTTTCCATGCTGTTTCCATGCTGTTTCCATGCTGCTTCCATGGCAGGTGAAACCCGGTCTGGCCTCATACCACGATGATCCCAAGGCAGCGGCGGACAGCGTGCGGCCGTTGATGAAGAAGGCATTGAAAGCAGTGCCCGAGCTGACCAGACCAGTCACGCCCATTCTTGTCCGGGTATGTTACCCGTTGCACCTGTTCTTTTCAGGGTAATATTACCGGTTGCACATGTTCTTCTCAGGGTATGTTATCGGTTCCACCTGTCTTTTTTAGGGTATGATACCTGTTGCACGTGTTCTTGTCGGGGTAGGTTTCACTCATGATTTGGGCTGGATTGTAAATTGCGTGCTTTCTTGTCAGGGCATGCTGCCCATTCTAGGATAATCCCACTGCAGGTGATTACTTTGGTGATGCGATATCATGTGTTTGTGAACATGCCCGCATGGTGATCTTATGCGTGTGTGACTGTTGCATGGTGACCTTATGCATGTGTGTGTGACTATATCGCAGGCCAGTGCAACACTCAGACAGCTCCCCGGCGACATGGCGTATCAAATCCTGCGAGAGGTGTGGGGAGGGTGAGGGAAGGCTGGGAGTTTTTTCGAGAATGGTAGGGGTGGGGGTGTGGGTGAGGGAAGGGCGATAATATTCATGAAAACTGGCGAAGATGGATGTCGTCCTCACAACCTGCTCACCCCATTCTCACCTCGTCATGACTCCCGAGCTTCTCCTGCCCTGCCCTGCCCTGCCCTGCCCTGCCCTGCCCTGCCCTGCCCTGCCCTGCCCTGCCCCGCCGGTCGCTCTGCTGTCCCCTGTGACCCGTCTCTGCATCTCTTCGCCTGAGGTTGCCCCCTATCACATCGTAGCAGCTCCCCCTCTCCTCCCCCTCTCTTCCAATCTCTCCCCCCTCTCCCCTCCACCCCCCCCTTCTCAGATCCGCCTGATGCTGACGGAGTTCCCCTTCCCTTACAGCCATGATGACGTCAGCACGCTGGAAGGTGGTGACGAGGGCTGCTTCGCCTGGGTGGGTGGGACATGGGGGATGGGGCAGGGGGGATGGGGGAGGGAAATGGGGCAGGGGGAATGGGCAGGGGGAATGGGGCAGGGGGAATGGGCAGGGGGAATGGGGCAGGGGGAATGGGCAGGGGGAATGGGGCAGGGGGAATGGGCAGGGGGAATGGGGCAGGGGGAATGGGCAGGGGAAATGGGGCAGGGGGAATGGGCAGGGGGAGGGGCAGGGGGGATGGGGCAGGGGAAATGGGGCAGGGGGAATGGGGCAGGGGGAATGGGGCAGGGGGAATGGGCAGGGGGGAGGGGGCAGGGGGGATGGGGCAGGGGAAATGGGGCAGGGGGAATGGGACAGGGGGAATGGGCAGGGGGAATGGGGCAGGGGGAATGGGCAGGGGGAATGGGGCAGGGGGAATGGGCAGGGGAAATGGGGCAGGGGGAATGGGCAGGGGAAATGGGGCATGGTGGGTGTATGGGTGGGGCACCAGCGAGGGCTGCTTTCTATGGGTGAGTGCAGGATAGTTTGGGCAGGGCGGATGGGTAGAGGAGAGGCAGGGTAGGGAAAGTGTGAGGGTGAGGGAGGGTGAGTTGAGGGAGGGTGAGTTGAGGGGAGGGTGAGTTGACGGGAGCCTGTGAGAAGCGGTAATTCATGCAGGATGAAGCTCCAGTTCGTGAGTGAAGCTGCGCCAATCAAGCTAGCTGCAATGAGCGACAGCTCGATGCTTGAGTATTATGTCTTCCTTTCCCCCTCCCCCCCCGCCCCCCCCCTTCCTGCCACCTCTTTCCCAGACAGCAGTGAACTTTCTCCTGGGAAATTTTGGAGACCGCCTGGGGAACCACCTGGGGTCAACAGTGGCAGTGGTGGACCTGGGAGATACCAGCGCCCAGGTGGCATATGCTGTCCCTGCTGATGTGGCGGATAAGGCTCCAGCTGGACACGTGAGGAGGCTGAGTGTGATGGGGACGACCTACCACGTTCGTGTGCACAGGTAGGGGGGAGATGGGAGGGGATGGGGGGAGTTGGGGAGGGGGGGGAAAAGGGGGGGGAGATAGGGGGAGGTGAGGGAGATGTGAGAAGATTTGGGGAGGGAGATTGGGCAACTCTGTCCTCCACCTCCCTTCTGTGTACCTCGCCCCGTTCTCCTCTCCCCCGCCTTAGTCTCCAGCTGTGGTTTCATGGCAGGCGGGGCTATGGCGCTACCTGTATTCACATCCCATCCCTTTCCCGCTATCCCATCCCTCTGCTTTTGAGTCGACTCAACCCTTTCCCACTATCCCATCCCTCTCCGATATCCCTCGGTTCCCTCCACCCCTCCCTCTCGCCAGCCTGCAAGGCTATGGTCTCATGGCGGGGAGAGCAGCGGTGCTACGAGCATCAAACGACACCCAGGGCCATCCATGCATGCACATGGGCTTTAAGGGTATATCTCTCCTCCCGCCGTGAGTTGAACGAGACGCAGTCCCTGGTAGACCAAGGTGCATGCATGCGTGGGATTGCACGGTAGAACAAGGCACATGCATGCATGCATGCCCATGGGCGTCCATGGCATGACGCCTTGCACCTGCACTGCCTGTTTCCCTCGTGGCTTTCCCACTTCCTTCCCCTGCCACGTGCCCCTGCTTCCCTCGTGTCGTAAGTGCATTAAGAAATCTCTCAAAAGGCACCCACGCCAGGTGCCCCTGCCCCTCACGACCCGTCCCTGGCACGTCGAGCACTGCAGCGATCACATGCTCCCATTGCGTCCTCTCAAACCCAACCTTCACATCACCCCTGTCAGATCCCATGTCAAACCCCACACCTCGTCCTGCCTTCGCAGGCACATTCAAGCACAACAGGGATACCGCCTCAGCTTCCTCCCTGCCTTTGCTGCCCTCTGCTCCGCCCTCACAACCTCACCCCCAAAACCATGCCCCTTCCCCCACTCCCCAATCTCTATCCCTCCTCCCCCTCGCCGCCCGTCCCAGGCACATTCAAGCACAACGAGGATCACGTCTCAACAGCCTCTCTGCCTTTGCTGCGTCTGCTCCGCCCTCACTTACTCGCCCCCAACACCGTGTCCTTACCCATTCCCCATTACCCATTCCCCATTACCCATTCCCCATTACCCATTCCCCATTACCCATTCCCCATTACCCATTCCCCATTACCCATTCCCCATTACCCATTCCCCATTACCCATTCCCCATTACCCCATTACCCATTCCCCATTACCCATCCATTCCCATTCCCATTACCCATTCCCCATTACCCATTCCCCATTACCCCCATTCCCCCCCCATTACCCATTCCCCCATTAACCCCATTCCCATTACCCCATTCCCCCATTACCCATTCCCCATTACCCATTCCCCATTACCCATTCCCCATTACCCATTCCCCATTCCCCATTCCCCCCCCCCATTCCCCCCCATTCCCCATTACCCATTCCCCATTACCCATTCCCCATTACCCATTCCCCATTACCCCATTCCCCATTCCCCCCCATTACCCATTTTCCCCATTACCCCATTCCCCCATTACCCCATTCCCACCCATTACCCATTCCCCATTCCCATTACCCATTCCCCACCCATTATTACCCATTCCCCATTACCCATTCCCCCCCCCCCATTACCCATTCCCCATTACCCCCCATCCCCCCCTCCCATTACCCCCCCCATTACCCATTCCCCATTACCCCATTCCCCATTCCCCATTCCCCCATTCCCATTCCCCCATTACCCATTCCTCCCCATTACCCATTCCCCATTACCCATTCTCCCATTAC